GGTTGCAACCTTAGACATTCCAACAAAAATGCACCTTCAAATGTTATCATAATATATAATTTTGATATTTCAAAATCTATTTTTATATCTAATGATAAAATTTTAAATTTAAAAAATAATTAAAATCAAGTAGATCTATAAACATATAAAAATCGTGAAAATGGATGGTATAGATAATATGTTGTAAGATGCACTATTTTTGAAACTCAAAATCTTTTTATTTATCATAGTCATACATCTCGATGTCGAGATGATCAATCACAGAGTTTTTCAACATTAAAAGAACGTTTTTCGATGGATTTTTGAGGTGCATCCGTTGTTCTACATTTTAAGGTTGCAACCTTATATAAACGTTTTTCTATATTTTATATTAATCACTTAAATATATTTATCATTGAAAAATTTCAATAAAACATGGTCTATTAGATAAAGAAAATTTAATGCATTTATCTTCACAATTAAATATTTTATTAATTAATAATAAATGTGATAGTAAAAAAAAACTAATATATTATTAATTAACATGAATCCATTTATAATACAATTAAAATAATGAAGATGACATAAAAAATAATTTAAAATAAATAAATAAAACGAATAAATTTATGCTTACTAATGCTAATATGAAATATATTAGTTTAACACATTAGAGCCTATTGATATCTATATCTAATATATTAAAAAGTATTTATAGTGATTATTGAACTAAGTGTTTCTCAGGGTTAAGGTTGTGATTCCTGGGATTTTGGGGCGATTTAGGATTTTGGCGTGAATTAGGATTTTGGACAGTTAGAATTGAGAATTGAAGTCTTCTGCAAGGGTTTCAGAGTCTTGCTAGGTTTGGGCTTAGGATTTTAGGTTCTAGAAAGCTTATAGGATAATTATACTTAAGAAACCTAAAAATGCCTCCCCTTAAATTGGGTTGTTTGAGTGATTTAAAAAATAGATTGGTGACCGAAACGGCATTCGGCACCTCAAAAATCAATATGGTTCAGTGAATCGGCAAGTCCAAAACGTCGTTTTACTGTGCGAAAAAAATAGTGAACCGACAAAAAAAAAAGTGAAAAATAATAAATTGGTCAAAAACTGGTCCAGATCAGTGAATCGACGATCCAGTCACCATTTTATTATAAAAAATCATGATTTTACAATACGGAACCGCTGGTTGTCTTATAAACTCAATCGTTTTTCTATATATACGCAAAACCATAATAAGTGTGACCAATTCTCAGGTTGGACGGGACGATTATGTACCCATTCGATGTTTATGTTAAACGTATCCAGGTTGCACGGGTTTTTAAATTTTTTGTGTTAGGGTCATTAAATGGGTGCCGTTTGCAAATTGGAAATGTTTTGCAATGTGGATATTGGGCCAGTAAAGGTCAGTAATCGACACTTTTGAGTTTTAAATTGAAAATTCAAGTTTTTTTTATTTTTTTTAATTTTTTTTTTGTTTTCAGGTTCAAATTGGGACCGTAATATGTATTGGTGGTTATGTTCACCATATTCATTATAAAAAAAATAAGGGGAAATATCTTCGTATCCTTAATTTTTTGGTTTTTATATCTCAGTGGATTCAAATATTCAAAATATATCTCCTCATCCCCTAACTTACTTTACCCACTTTTAGTTATTTTTTTCAGCGTTAACAAATATAAAAAAGACGTGCTCATTCTAAACGTTTCCTCTCTTTATGTGATATATTTTCCGAAATTTCTCTCTTTAAAATTCACCATCTTTGTCTCTCTAACGCGGGAGAGCGAGGGTGAGAAAATCAGTAGAGAAAGAGTTAGGGAAAAATCTGATGAGAGAAATGATGGTGTTTAAAAAAGATATATTTTTTTTATATTTGTTTAGGACAAAAAAATAGATATAAAAAATAAAGTTAGCTTAGACAGTTAAAAGATATAAAACTTAAAATAGATATATATTAGGGTGAATGGATGTTAAAAAGTTTCGATGGACTATCTAGATAATTTGTTTCAAGGTGTATTTTTTTAAATTTTAAATTCTTTTTACCTTGACATCCGTACTCGAGGTGGAAATGAACGTAGGGCCTTTTCGATAAGAGAATAACCTTTTTGGGTTACTTCCACAATTTAAGATTGACCCAATATATGGACATTTTGCTTTTATTTTATTTTTCCGTTAATTCTAATTAAAAAGGAAACCAAATATAACCGTCCTTATGTAGCGATAAAATGGCCTTTATTATCGAATTGTCAAACAAACTATAATGGCGAATGATCATGTGTTTATACCAACTCCTGTCCCATTAAAAATTGGAAAATCTTTTCACGTAAGTTGGACCACATTTCTACATATGTTGTTCAGAAAGTGTAAATCATCCGTCGTAAAGATGGATGCAAGTAGGTGTTCATTCTAAAAACAATGGAAGCTAAGGCATTTTTAGTTTTTTAAAAGATATTTATTTTTTCATATTCATGATCTCTATGTTAGAGATTACATGTCCTTAAAACGTAAGCATCTCACAAATAGATTTATTAAGATGCCTGCATTTCTACATGTACCGGTTTTGCTGCATAGAAACCGGGGTTGAATTTTTAAAAAGCGAAACTATCTCAAATTTAAAGTTTTAGAGAGAGAAATATCTCAAAACTTTTAAATAGAGAAACTATATCAAATTTTAAATTTTAAAGAGAGAAAATATATTAAAATTTAAAGATAAAAACTATATCAAATTTTTAGATAGAAAATAGATCCATGGAGTCATCTCTCCAACTCCTATTAGGGACAAGATAACATCATCTCTTATAAGATTTAAGTGATCATAAATTTGAAGAGATTTCACTTTCCCATAAGATAGGGTATCATACCTCATAAATGGGAAAACAAAATGACGTAATCATCTTCCTAAAAACATGGGCTCAAAATTCTCTTTGATGCGATGAGCTAGGGATAAGGTGTGATGAAGGGAAGGCATTCGAATTTCTTACATATTACAAGCATTTAGATTTTAGAGAGAGAAATCATTTCGATTTTAGACAGAGAGAAATCAAGATTTTAGAGAGAGAGAAAGCATTTAGATTTAAGATTTAAGCGAGAGAGAGAGTAATCTATAGTACTTATCTATCGCTAACTCATTCCAAGAAAGAGAGGGAGAGCGGGGAAGTTCTTGATTTTAGAGAGAGAATAAAAAGGATTTTGATTTTTCTTTTGATTTTATTTATAGGAGATTTGGGGATAAGATCTAAAAGATTAGAGTGAGAGGACTCTTCATTAACCAAGCTAATTGCCAGATCAAATAGTGCAGATCAAGGTCGCCAATACTGAAGCATTTCGAACTTTTTACCGGAGCAGAAATGCGGGCTCCTCTTCCAATTAAAGACTGGATAAGACTGAAAACTATAGGGAATGGCTCTTATGGAGATGTGAGTCTTGCCCGAAACTTGGAAGATGGCCGTTTATTTGCTGTAAAGTCTGCAACCTGCAACAATGAAGAGTTTCTCGAATCTCTAGAGAGAGAAATTAAGGTACTCAAGAATCTGGATTGCCCTTTTATTGTAAGGTACCTTGGCCAGTGCAATGACAAAGAAGGAAGGCTGAATATCTTCATGGAGTACATGGATGGCGGTGATTTGTCTGCACTATCCATGAGATGCAAGGGATTGCCGGAACTGGCCATTAAAGCTTACATGACCTCCATTCTAAGAGGTCTTCAATACCTTCATGGCAATGGAATTATTCACTGTGATATTAAAGCAAAGAATGTGCTCTTGGGGTTCTTAGGCGACGTCAAACTTGCTGATTTTGGTGCTGCAAAGAGGGTCTCCAGTGAGCTTTGTGATATTCACGCCGGGACTTTGGGGTGGATGGCCCCTGAAATTTTTAGGAGGAGGGAACAAGGCATACCCTCAGATATATGGTCCCTCGGTTGTACAGTTGTGGAGATGGCTACAGGGAAGGTACCCGAATTATCACCAGAAAAGCTTAAACTCACTGGAATTTCAGATTGTGGCCTTGATTTTCTTGAGAAGTGTTCATTCGAGAGCCATCAAAAAGGTGGAGGGCTTCTCAGTTGCTTCACCATCCCTTTCTGGCCTCTGTACACTCAAATGAAACCCTATTTTCACCAAGTACTGTCCTCGACAATTTACCGACTCCTCAACGAATAGAGCAGACTGAAACCCTGACAAGCTGCAGAGGTTTTGACAAAAATCAGAGAAACATAACCCTAACAATCTTCAGTGACTTTGATGAAGAGCAGACAATTAACACCCTAAAAAGTCACAAAGCTTCACAAGCCATGCTGAGGATCAAAACCCCAACAAGTTGCAGAGGTTTTGACCAAGAGAGGTGGGAGACCAAGGATTGGCTAACATTGTGATCGTCAATGGCCGGAAAACTTCGTTCGCTTCCTTGCTCTTGAGAATTTGTTTTCTGATGCTCCTTTGGCTATTTGCCTCGGAGCTAGATGTGAGAATTTTGAGTTTGGAAGGGGTTTGTGTTCATAAACAAAGCCCTAGTGCCAAATTCATGTGGCTATTTTATTGTGCCACTGTAGACATATGTTTCCTCTTACCCAAGATGTGATACTTAAATTCTTTGTCTAAATTGGAAAGAGAAATTTTTGCAGGTTCAGTTACAAGATAGGAGTAACGCACACTGGATGATTGTATAGTGTTGTTATTGACTATTTATGTAATAAAATAGCGGTTTGAATATAAGCTTGTTTTTCTTATTTAACTTTGTTTAATGTAAGATGGGTTTTTCACCCAAGAGCATGAACTTAGATTTTGATGATTTTGTATACTTAAAAATTTGTGTGAGGAAAATTTAGCCTCAAACAATGACTACGTTGGAGAAAAAGAAAAAAAGCCAAACATGTGTATTTATCATTTTTATTTCTTTCCCCCACTTTTCAAATAAGCTAGCTCAAGTTGCACCTAATAAAAATATAAAAAAAATAATTAGCGAAAAAAATTGACCAAAATAGCCCTTCAATTTATTTCATATAAAATATATTTTTTGATATTTTTCAAAGATTCACCTATTTTTGATGTATACACGCTCCAAATTTTAAGTGATTTAGATTTGTAGAAAAAAGTCAAAATTCAAACCCTGTCGGACATCCGTGATCCTCAGATCGGCCCAGATTCAATCTGAGCCGTTGGGCTCATTTTTTCCTACGAGCTAGTGGGTCCATCATAACATCTTTCATAT